ACGAAGCCTCGGACAACATTTTCGCTAAGGAAAAAGTTGTTTCAAATCACCCCCCGAACCAACCCTTTCAAGGACCTCCAACATTTTTGGGACACCCTGTATAGTTGCTGCTACTAGCTGCATATTCGCATGGTACAGCACCTAAGCGCGTAACACTTAGATATGAAAGTATTTTTATTATGTTTGCATTGTACAAATCATTTTCGGAATTTAAGGAAACTGTATTCGGAAAGATTCGTTTTTCTTGTGTAACATTTAACAAATATTGCAATCTTTGGAGGCTTGTATTTTTTAAACAACTATAGAACTGGATAAATAATTACTTAAATTCCCCCAAATTTCAGGTAGACTGCGTCATATTTTAATTTTTATCAAAGTGTCTGACATCAGACACAAGTGAGTGATACGACGTGGAATGACCGTACAATTTATATCGTTATAAAGATCATGTATTTGACTTTTTTTGTCACGGTTAATTCAAGGTCTGCGAAAAACTAGAAGACGGACAATGGATTTCTGGCAGAGACGAGGAGGGACCCTATATAAAACGCGGAGATCAATGGATCGGTTACGAGGATCCTCTGGCGGTGAAAATCAAAGTGGCTTATGTTCGATCGACCGGGCTAGGCGGAGTTTCTTTGTGGTCGATGGATTTGGATGATTTCCAGGTGATTTCCAAATTTCTGAGCATCTAACGATCGACACAATAATTCCGCTTTCAAGTGACAAACTCGGAACTGTCAATTTTGTCCGGGTTCTCAAAATTTTTAAAATCAAAATGGCGGATCCAATATGGCCGACTTGTATGCCAAAAAGTTCTTAAATTTGAACGAAATTTGGTATACTCGGGCTTTTTACCTTGTATATGTAAATAAAACAAAATATTGCGCATACCGTACTTTCAGGGTATTTGTGGAAATCCTTGGCCCATGCTAAACGCTGCAACCGAATCGATAGGACTACACGACGAAGAGGAGGTGAAGAAATGTTCTACCGAGGGTGTCTATAGCGATCCTGACAACTGCTCTGGATTCTACGCTTGCCATGAAGGTAATGCCGATAGGAACGTTGACTTTTCTCTATCGTATCCTCTCTATAAAATTAGTTACAATTTCACAATGTTGTTCTCATACAAAAAATTCAGTATGATGGTTACATGTAGATTCATAGCATAAAATAAAAGAGACAAGTTTCTCTATAATATAATATAATATATAATAGATGTGATCCTTCATTTAATTTTTTTGTTAAATTACCCTGTGAGTTTAAAGTTTAAGTATGTCGTACGCCACAGAAGTTAAATAGGTACACAATGAAGAAAAATAATGGTAAACACATAAAGGCCTATTTTCAGCAGGACAAAAGTACTGGCATACTTACAGTGGGTGTAGAATGTATTCGTACACCGATCAATTTCCTAAAAAACTTTTGTGCCAAATTGTAGTTTCTTAACTTCTTTTTTTATAATCGATCATATTTTACATATCCTCAGAAGTCTCTAAGATAGATATAGTCCAAACAACATTTACTAATCAATATAATTTGTGATGTTAACAAAAAATGCGAAAAGTGGGTAAAAATATAGAATCAATAAGTATTTGTACGATTCTTATGACGAACCATTTAAAGTAGAGTTTGTAAAGTAAACACATTAGTTTATTGCTCCGTACGAATTAGAAAACATCAAATTTCCAGTAAAGTACTTTTAAAAATGGCTGTAATAGAGGAATGGAAAAAGATCCCACTTCGAATAACTAATAATTTAGTTAGTTTAATGGTTACATTAGAAGAGTTACAATAATTATAAAATCAAAAGGAAATCCCATGAAGGAAGTATCATATACTTATAAATTAATGTAAATTTCTTTTTTTTTAATGAAGTTTTAAAAATGAAACAGTTGTGCGAATACTTATTGCTTCAATATTTCTATCGATTAATTGTTTTTTTCTTGTTATTTTTGCAACTTACATAAATAGCTATTTTTTTGTAATCTATCTATTCTAGAGATTCCCGAGAATATGTAGAATGTCATTGTTTATAAAAAATAAGTTAATAAATTACAATTTTACATAGTTTTTTTGGAAATTGATCGGTGTACGAGTACTTTCTACACCCACTGTATAAACTTTGTTGCTATGTAAGAGTTAGGTGCGATCCTCTTCCTTTTGGTATTGCGCGCTGTCTTCCCTCTCAAGGATAGTTCTGTCGGCTGCCGCTAGGCCACGCTATCACGCGGCGCTCTCTCGCTAGCGAAAGTGGGGAGTGCCGCGCCTAAGTACCGCTGCCGCGACGCTCTACGGGCAGAACGTCTGAATGTGCATTACGTGTACACACTCGAATTAGAGGTACGCGAGATCCCGTAATCTCGGGATCGGGAAGGGACGGAAAAGTTCGAGCGGGATCGAGCAAGGTCCCCGATAGACGTACTCTGCTTGGAATCTCGAGACTCTCGATTCTAGTTACTGGTGTGTGATTTTAGATCATCCGAGTCTTGGGATCTCGAACTTCTTGATGGAACGGGAAGTTCGAAGAGGATAGTTGATGACAGGACTTATTTGTTAGATAAATAATTAATATCTGGTGATAGATTATGTTCACTTTGATAATGTTGTTAAACGTATGTATTAAGTGCTTTAACTTTGTTCTATATACAAGTTATATATTAATTATTTATATAACAAATAAGTCCTGTCATCAACTATCCTCTTCGAACTTCCCGTTTCATCAAGAAGTTCGAGATCCCAAGACTCGGATGATCTAAGATCACACACCAGTAACTAGAATCGAGAGTCTCGAGATTCCGAGCAGAGTACGTCTATCGGGACCTTGCCCGATCCCGCCCGAACTTTTCCGTCCCGTCCCGAAGCTCGGGATCCCGGGACTCGGGCGATCTTGCACCCCTATCTAACTCGAGTACAAAATATCATCAAAACCTTGACCTTGCCTGGCTACGCCAAGCATTTGACTTCCAGGCCACGGACATCTAGGGAAATGTCTAAACAGTCTCAGTTTGTGGTTGATACACTATTTAGCTTCTTCATTTCACCGCCAAAGTGCGGAGAAGTCAGTTTACATGAGTTGTCACTAGGGTCTGAACGTCTGCACTGTTGAACTCAGCATTTTAGCTGCGCATAGTTGGAAACCACCAAATTATACATTGTGTTACACAGTGTCGCCTTTGCACTTTATTGAAAAGGTCTTTCATGTACTGGCAGCTCATTTTGATTTCACATCTTTTTCTACTTTCTTGTACTTTTTTATGCGGATCTTTTATTTTTCTATGATAACTCCTTGAGTCCTCCACTTTTTCATGTACTTGGTGTAATTTTTTTACTTTTTTGAAGTTTTTTATGGAGATCTCACTTCTTTTTACAAAGATAATTTGTATAGTGAATGACTTCAAATAATAGAAAATGGGAGATCAGTTTGAATTCTTTAAGGTTTCAAAAGTACGCGGAACGCATTGCAGGAAGTCTCATTGCAAGAAATTTATTAAAGAAAAAGTGTAATCACTTTATCAGTAACATTTAAATGCAATAAGACTTTCTGTCACGTGTCGTGCGTACTTTTGAGGATTTAAAGAACTAAATCTGACCTTTCTTTTTCTATATTATTGTAATACAATAAATTGTGCGTTATCAATAGTGGATTTCTTTTTTCATTTCTCGATTTATCTTTAACATTTGAATTTCTTGCCACAAGACTTTCTGCCACGCGGTCTGCGTACTTCTGAACTTTATTCTAATACAGTAAATTATGCGTTATAAATAGTTGATTTCTTTTTTTCATTTCTCGCTTCATCTTTAACATTTAAATTTCTTGCAGTGAGACATCCTGCCATGCGTTCTGTATACTTTTGGAAACTTAAAGGACTGAAGCTGGTCTCTTTCCTATATCTGGTTCTAGACACATTATGTGTATTGTATATGCTTGCTATAATAAAAGACAAATGTATTTTTATTTCAAGCTCTACATTAATTTGCAAGTAAAATAAGGTTTGTATGTGTTATTTACAAATAAAATTAATGTCATATGAATAACGCACAATTTATTATATTACAATACCAGATTCAGACTCTTAAGTTTTCAAAAGCACACATAACGCATGGCAGAAAGTCTTGTTGTAACAAACTTAAATGTTAAAAATGAAGTATGAAATGGAAAAAGAGGTCCACTATTTCTAACCCACAATTTATTATATTATAATACCAGTTACAGTAATAAACAATTGCTGTATAATTTAAAGTATTTAAACTATTGAGGTACAAACGAAACGAAAAGCGGTACAAACGATTCTAAAGAATAGGGAAAAAACAGATTTCATAAATCTCAATGTTGGGTGCTGACCATTTTAAAAATTTTTTTTAATTATTAATTGATGAAGGTACAAACGAAACTATTGGTGGTACAATCAAGTACAAACGAAATGCTATTATTTTCTATAAAAAAAAATTAATTTTTGAAAAGTCGGTCAAGTAAACAACCGCCTTTTCGCGAATTATTTTTTAAGAGTGCGTAATATATATTTATTTACAAATAATTACTTGTTATTTTGTACCATCTAGATAATCTATATAATTTTTTTTTAAGTAAAAATATTCATAAATGAATGAACAGCAGCTGTTTGAAGTTGGCTTCTCGAAAATGCACCGTGCAACGCGCAGATCACTCTAATTATTTGAAATAAGAATTCCACCAATTTTTCGTTAAAATATAGTAACACGCTTTGCATCAACCTAGATTTAAAAAAAAAAAAAATTTAATTTAAAATTTCACGTCACGTTAAAAAAATTTTGTTATAGAAAAATGATTAAAAACATTGTTTATTTCAATTTTTATAAAAACCTTTAGGTTGATGCAAAGGAGGATAGTTTAAGGAATATTTTGTACCAAGTTTCATAGCAATCGGCTGAGAAATCTCTAAGCTACATTGCACGGCACGCGAAATTTTGTGTTCTGAGAAAATTGCGTTTAAAGTTTCCGGGTCTAAAAATAGTCCTTCGTGTATCGTTCGGAGTGCATCACTTTAATGACTGTAGGTACACTTAGACTTCGAAGTTTTAGCTGAAATGGTCGGAGCACATTCTCCAAATAGTAAACTAATTTTCTAAACAAAAAGAAAAGGTCAAAATTTTGAATTTTACTTGACCCTCCCCCCTTAAATTGGGATCCGGTCTGGTCTAACCACGTACGGCTGCAGGCCCTCGCTCCACTTCTGAATACCGGCTCACTTACTACTCTTTCAAATCTGCTCCGATTTGACAACGAAAGCGTGATTCAAAAAATCTGAATTTTTGGGGACCTGTTAATAAAGCATTCGCGCATCTGATACCATGAACGGCGTTGACGTGGGGTTACTCGTTCACCCTGCAGATGGGCCTAAAGTTGGAAGCAAGTTTTTAAAAAAAGTCGACATTTTCGTATCTTATTGCCATTCACACGGGAAAAAGACATCAAAACTGTATCAGCCCGATGCCCTGGACTGTTGGACATATGATCCATGCAACGAAACAACGTTTCAACCCTCACACTTGGGAGTGGACCACCCCTACCTCTGCCCCCCCCCCCCCTCTTGAGCTCCGGGAGCAGTTTTCGAAACGGGACCTTTCCGGCATTCATCCTCAACGTATCGAGAACAAACATGGTGAATTTCATCGCCCTCCGATGTGTGGAAGTGCTCCCTTACGAAGGGGGTTGAAAATTTGCGAGCTGTTCCACCCCCCCAAAGGGCGCCTATGGGGAGCACGGTATGGACGATGGCATTTTCTGGATCAGGGGAGACCAGAGAATGCATTGAGTCCAAAATCGAGACCATCGTCCAAAAATTGTGGATTTTAGAGGGAGTGGGAGGTTGTGGGAGGTGGGTTTGTCCGAGAGCGTTTTCAAGGGGTGCATTTTGTAGAAGGCATCAAACAGAGTCGCCCTGAATGTTTTTTTAATTTTGTCAACCCCTTCCGTCATCTCTGGCACCTTTAGAAGTCACGTTTTTCGACGCCCCCCCCCCCCCGTAAGGGGGTGAATTAACCCCTTCGCATCAACGTTCGCCCATGAAACTTTACACACACCCAGAGGACACTACAAAACTACTCCTCACGGAGTTTAATTCCAATCGGTTGAAAACTTCCATGTTTTTGAACATGTTAAATGTTAAAAGTTTGTGTTTACACTGAAAAATTTCCTAAGTCAATTACCAAACCTTCACGATACAATAAGCAATCCTACCCTGAGTAACGATTCCACAACATAATAACTTTGCCGCTCGAGTTATTATTCGATTAAATTAATAAGTTGCTAGGCTTTATTCACGACGCGTAGTATACATCAACGATACGATTTAGGCTCTGTCTATTCAATCCGAACTCCTAGTTTAACCTATCCTGCGGTTATCCTACACTGGGAGATACCGATTCCTGCTAGCTATCTGACTTCGCGCCAGAGTCGCTGCATTTTTCCAAAAATCTCACAATTTGAACCTTACCCTACGATTACCCTTTACTGGGAGATACCGATTCCAGCAGCTAGCTGACTCCGCGTCAGAGTCGTCTGCATTGTCTAATTGATCCTCAGTCTTCGGTACCATTGATACACACTAATTAATCGTATTGCTCCAATTCTCAAATCTAACCCACTGGCTGGGCTCACACGCGCGTCGCTATCGCCCTGGCTCGTAACAGCGCCAATATTACTAAAACCGGCACTGTAAGCACTATATGAGTACTAGGAAAGCAAGTTATTTTTAACCGACTTCGAAAAGAAGGAGGTTACTCGATTCGACACGTATAATTTTTTTTTGTATTCGATATTATTAGCAAGTATATAAGCTGCATATTATTTCTTATTTTTTATTAGGTACACAGTACCATGGCCACTGCGGTTATGGAAGATTCTTCAATACCGTCGATGGACGTTGCGTGAAAGCGTCCCCAGAAGTTTGCAAACCGGGACAGAGTAATCGGATTCAGAGTCTCCAGATGGACTCACGAGAGACAGAAGAATCACAGCATTTAGAAATCTCCACGAATAAAGATCCACGAGTAGTTTGCTACGTGACCTCGTGGTCTTTGTACCGCAAAGGAGACGGAATGTTCGTTCCTGAACGTTTGGAATCGCGTTTATGTACCGACGTTGTTTACGCCTTTGCTGGGCTGAATCCGGACACGTTGCTGATTCAACCGTTCGACCCCTGGGCAGACATAGAACACGGTAAGTGTGTCGAGATTAAGTTAACATTTTGAAGCTTATGTGGTCTGTCCCAAAAGTTTACGAACTTTCATTAAAACTCTCTCTGTATAGTAATAATTATAAGTTTAAATTTATATTATTCAAAATACCCTAAATATTCAAAATATTATTCTGAAGGAATACGATTATTACTACGGTCATATAACTTTAGAAAACTCTGCTGAAAACCTTTTTTTTATATAGCCGAAACGGTCTCACTCAAAGTATTCCGGATATGCAAAATGGCGTCGAACTGTTTTTCTTTCAGCTTCATTCCTCATTTCAATTAAAACACCGTATTTCATCATACGTTACAACGGTTTTCAAGAAGTTCAATTCATTATCGGCAACAAAAATGATCTCTTGAAGGTGTAGAACCTGGGCACTTCTTTAATCATTGTTTAAAGATTGGAGAACAAATTAAAAAATCCAGAGATTTCTCATAGCTTCAGATCTTCGGTCAAAATTCGTTACACTTGTAATTTATTAACTCGAGTGATATCCATGGTGAGCCTTACAGACACAAAGTAATGTCTCGTTAAACGCACAAATTTGTCCAGGATAAGTGCACAGAACTAGCCACACCACAGGGGGGTATACCTCTTGAGGGGCCGGTACGCCAGGTCTCGGTGATGGTTGTTAGGCGGTGAACAAATGCTCTGCTGTCTTGTTAAATAATTGTTTATTCTCCAGTCCACGCTACACAGTGGTCCGGATGGTCAAAAACCTGGCCAAAATAAGAAGTTTTCGGATCTTCGTGAAACTTGATATTATAGGGTTATTTGGGCCACAAATTACGAATCTGCTATCATAATTGCAAAATTCAAAATGGCGGATCCAGTATGGCCGACATGTATATTACAAAGTTATTAGATTTTCATGAAACTTGGTATTTAAGAGTTATTTGGGCCGCAAATTACGAATCTAGTATCAGAATTGCAAAAATTCAAAATGGCAGATCCATTATGGTCGACATGTATATTAAAAATATTAAATTATTATGAATTTTGTATGAAATAGGATTTCTAGGTTTATAGGACAACATAGTTAGAATACATTGGCAGAAATAACAATAATAAATTAATGTTAAATTAAAATTAAGGATAATAAGGTTTGTTTTAATGCCACGTAAACAGTCTTCTTTTCCTTATAAGCATGGACTTTAAATTTAAATAACTTAAAATAGCGCAAATTTGCGCAAGTTTTATCAATTGGATATCATACCTGACATGTTACTTTATATCAAGAAACTTGGCAGAGCGTGTCACTCGGTGACTATCATCTTTGTTTTCCTTCCGATTCATCGAAAGATAACTAAAATTTATACCATATTGAGAAGGGAATTACAATAGTGAATCCAAAGATATTTTACTTTGTTCTTGTGGAAAGTTTATGTTTCTAACATCTACTTTTATGGTAAAATAATTTACATATGAATCTATTGAGGATAAACTTTCCGTGACACAATAAATATCCGCCACTTTTCACGATATCAAACAGCATGTAATTTCGTCAACTTTGAACCTCTGTATATCAGTAACCGATTATTATTTTTTTAAATTTCGAACGGCATTTAATGCACTCATATGTATATAAACTTTCTGTGACACAATAAATATGCGCCACTTTTCACGATATCAAGGAGCATGAAATTTCGTCAACTGTGAACGTCTGTATATCAGTAACCGATTACTATTTTTTTAAATTTCAAACGGCATTTAATGCACTCATATGTATACAACACACGCACAATATTGAAAAAAGTAGGCAGGCCTAAATTCTACATAATAGTTTTTTTCACAACCGTTACCTTTACGGCATGCAGAAAAATGTCGCCCATTTTTTAGTAATGAAATAAAGCTAACGGATAAAGGTAAAAGATTTTTAGGAGAAAAAAATATGAAAATATAAATTAATTTGAGATAAAAATAATATTTTATTTTGGAATTCTTTTCACGTGCCCTCCGTCATTTAGTATACAATTTTTTATTCGTTTTAGAAATTGTTTTTCTACTTTTACAAGAGTACTGTTGGAACGTTGCAACACGCGTTAACAATGTGAAAAAAACTATTTT